TGAGAGTGCCCATTTATACATAGAATTGCTACTACCTGTGGTTTATTTCTGTATAATGGCATATAGTGTTACTGTTTCAAAGGAGGGCCATATTATAGGGGAAGCCGATGAGTTTAGGGCCCTGCATGATAAGAATGAAAGCCACACAATTCATCTTTTATCTTTGTAGAAAACAGGCTGGGGGATTTGAGACGAACTTATTAAATGAACTGTCTTGGGAGGTTAGAATGAGACTTGAACCCAACTTCCACATAATTATGCTACAAGTTGATTTTTTTTCACGCCTTTATTACACAATAAAATAGAAAAAGAAAATCTGTCATGGGAGTCTCCAGTTAGACAAATCAGCCTCCACTCCCTCCCCCAAAAGACAAATGAGGGTCTAGATTTATTTCCTAGTAGTTAAATGTTTATGCGTAAATCCACTACAAAGTCCTAGGGAAATGCTAAAGAATATTCTTCAGCTTCCAGCCATTTCTCTTAGATTTCAAACTTTTTATGGAAGGTGTATTATGAATGCTGGACATTTGGGGGAAAAAAAGGGGTAATTTACAAACAAGTATCAATCAACTTGGAGACATTACAGAAACTAGTGCATTGCTGTATATTTATTTCATAAGGATTTATATAGCCCAGCCACAATATAGCTAAATACAAAAAACAATTGCACGCCTTTCCTACTGGATCTTAGAGGTGACTAAGAAGTTAGGTGATAACTAAGTGGATATATTCAGTTGTATATTCGTTTCAACTTAAAGGCTAAACGACTGACTAGTTCTCCCCAGCACTTTCTACAACTACCCTGACTTTATAACGTGGTGGCAAGGGAATAAAGGTAGTTGGACGTTAACTCCTTAATTGCTCTTCATGAACAATTCTCCCTTTCCTAATTCATTGCCCAAAATAAGTCGAAGTATCTTTTTTCACTAGATTTCAGAACAGGAGTTTAACTCTATTTATAGTTGTCTTTTCTTTGTATCCTTCAACTATATTTTAATTTATATAATAAGAGTATTTCTGAAAAGGTTATACAAATTGAATTTTTATAGATTCAGTAGAAGAGCTTTCTGTTTACAGTCAAGTAAAGTTTAGAGCTAAAAGGAATTCAAAGGAACCCGGTAGTGAATCCATTTGTCAAGTGCAGGATTGTTTTCTGAGTTACCTCACATCACATTCCACTTCATAATGTACTATCTTACAGTCATCTCTCATTCGGTCATTCATGTATGTTAATCTTATTTCCCTGGATTGTGAATTCCTTTAAGTTAGGACTGTAACACCTAAATGTACAACCTATTGATAGGTTCATAGAATATTCCCAACAATTTGTTATTTTTTATAATATTTTTAAATCTTTTTCTTCAGTGGAATGCACCTGTATATACAAAACTGTCTGATGTGATGATTTTTAAATTATGGTTTTAGAAGAAAATAGTTCTTTTTTTAATTATTGTCTGAGTAAATAAGAGTTTATTGAAATCACTTGGTTGTCCTGGTATACAAGCAGACATAGCTGAAGTTTAGGGAGAGATTATTGCCCCCCATTTCATTCCACCAAAACAGATGCACTAGGACTGACGGTTGCTGATGTTTGCAGATTAGGGCAAAAAGTAGAGAGAGAGGTATGTAGTTCTGACAGCACCCTGACTAATTCAAATTAGGTCAAGTAATGAAGATACTGTGTGATAATAACTTATTTTTATAGCATTTTTTTCCAAGGACTCTATGTATATTATCCCATTTGGTCCTACACATGTTCCATGGAGAGAGTAGCATTTTTCTTCAGTTGTTTTGAGGATAAACTGAACCTTGAGAAGATTAAGTGAATTTTCCACTACTGGCTATTAGTGCCAACACCCAGATGACCTACTGTCCAGTGTAGGTGCACTTTCTGACTGATGTCATACTCTCCCTCGGGGATCTCATCCACTTATATGGCTTCAACTACCACTATATAGATGATTCTCAAAACAGTACCTCTACCCTTAACCTGTCCCTCAGCTCCAGACTCGTATCTCCATGCTATGCGATCCTGTTGTTGTTGTCGTTAGTTGTTTTTGAGTCAATGCTGACTCATGGCTACCCCACGTATGCAGAGTAGAACTGCTCCATAAAGTTCCCAAGGTTGTGATCGTTTGAAAGCAGATTGCCAGGCCTGGCTTCCAGGGCACCTCTAGGTAGGTTCAAACTGCTAACCTTTCCACTGGTAGTCAAGAACTTTAACTGTTGTACCATATAAAGGATATGCATTTATGTTTGTTGATATAGAAAGATGCTCTTTATCTATGGATAAACAATTCAAGTTGTAGAATTGTGAGAATAATATGAGCTTGTTTATATTAAAAACTAAATGCTTAATATATTCATATATGTCTATTTGTCTTGGTTATCTAGTGCTGCTATAACAGAAATACCACAAGTGGATGCTTCAACAAACAAAAGTTTATTCTCTCGTAGCCTAGTAGGCTAGAAGTGCAAATTCAGGGTGCCAGCTCTAGGGCAAGGCTTTCTCTCTCTGTCAGCTCTGGGGGAAGGTCCTTGTCGTAAATCTTCCCCTGGACTAGGATCTTCTCTGAGCAGGAACCCTGGATTCAAAGGACACACTCTGCTCCTGGTGCTGCTTTCTTGGTGGTATCAGGTCCCCTTGTCTCTCTACTTTTCTCTTTTATATCTCAAAAGAGATTGGCTAAAATTGTAAATTAGTCTTGTAGATTGAGTTTGCATAACTGCTGTAATCTCATCTCATTAACATCATAGAGATAGTATTTACAACACATAGGAAAATCACATCAGATGACAAAATGTTGGACAATCACACAATACTGGGAATCATGACCTAGCCAAGTTCACAGGTATTTTGGGGGGACACAATTCAATCCATGACACTGTCAGTCATATCTCTGTCTTTCTCTGTCACCTCTCTAACTACTCCATTGGCACATGAAAATGTCTGGAAGGATACACACTAAATTGTTACCATTGGTTGGGGAAAATGAGCAATGAGGGCAGACCACTTACGTATTTTGCTTCATATTGCTTATGTATTTTTTCCATGCACTTACCACTGTTGTGATTAGGAAAATAAACAACGTTAAATGTATCTTTAAAAGAGATCAAATCAACCCCTTTAAAATGTAGTGACTCACAAATAATAATCAGGACAGTGTGGTCCTGGCATAAGACTAGACGTATAGACCAGTGAAATAGAATCTAGAGTTCAGAAAGAAACTCAACTGATTTTTGATAAGGGTGCACCCACAAGACCATTCAGTGGGGGAAAAATAGTATTTTCAATAAATGGTACTGGTATAACTGGATGTCCCATGCAAAAGAATGAAGTCGGATCCTATCTCATATGAAAATTAACTCAAAATGGATCAAAGACCTAAGTGTAAGTGCTTAAGTGATTCAGCTCTTAGAAGAAAACATAGGAGTAAATCTTCATGACCTTGAACGAGGCAATGATTCCTTAGATATAACACCAAAAACAAGCAACAAAAGAAAAAAATAGATAAATTGGACTTCATCAAAATTTTAAACTTTTGTGCCTCAAAGGACACTATCAAGAGAGTGAAAATACAACCCACAGAATAGGATAAAATATTTGCAAATCATATATCTGATAAGACACTTGTATGTAGAATATATAAGGAATTCTTACAGCTCAGTAATAAAAGACAAATAACACAATTGAAAAATAGGCAAAGGATTTGAATAGACATTTCTCCAAAGAATATATATAAATGGCCAATATGTGCATGAAAATATCCTCAACATCATTAGTCATCAGGCAAACGCAAAGTAAAACTACAATGAGATATCGTTTCACACACACTAAGTATGGATATAATAAGAGGAAAATAACCAGTGTTGGTGAGGATGTAGAAAAATTGGAATCCTCACACATTGCTGGTGGGAATGTAAAATGGTGCAACCACTTTGACAAGCAGTCCGTCTGGCGGTTCTTCAAAAGGTTAAACATAGAGTTACCATTTGACCTAGCAGTTTCACTCCTAGGTATATACCTGAGAGAAATGAAAACATGTCCACACAAAAACTTGCATATTAATGTTCTTAACAGTGTTATTCGTAATAGCCAGAAGAGGGAGACAGCCGAAATGTCTATCAATTGATGAGTGATAAATCAAAAGGAAAGAAGTCCTGATACATGCTGTGGCATGGATGAATATTGATAACTTCCAGTCAAAAGAGACTATATATCATCTCATTTATATGACATGTCTAAAATAGGTAAATCTAGACAGAAAAGGTAAACTAGGGGTTTCATAGGGCTGAGGCCGGGAGTGGGGGTGGGGGGAGATAACTAAAGACTATGAAATTTCATTTGGGATGATAAAAATGTTCTAAAAGTGATGGTGGTGTTAGTTTCAAACTCTGAAAATACAATAAAGATCATTAAATTGTACACTTGAAATGTAAATTGTATCTCAAAAAATCTGTTACAAAACGAACAAAAAATTGAATGAAAACAATGATTTAATTCAATGAGAACTTTATATAATAACCTAGTGCTGCTGCTCCAAGGACCACACGTCAAGAACCACTGAATTAACAGATCTTTGATTTTCCCTTTTTTTCTCCCAAATCCCCAGTTAATCTTCCTTTGCTGACAATTCCAGTTAAGATTTTTTCATAAATTTGCTGTGGGTTGTAATAGATTGTCATAGGATTCTCCTTTTTTGATCTAATATAATTTAGAGACCTGTACGCATTGAATGGAGCCCTGGTGGCACAGTGGTTAAGTACTTGGCTGCTAACTGAAAGGTTGGTGGTTGGAACCTACCAGCCGCCCCATGGAAGAAAGATGTGGCATTCTGCTTCCATAAAGATTACAGCCTTGTAAACCCTATGGGCCAGTTCTGTTCTGTCCTATGGGGTCGCCAGAGGGTCACTATGAGTCGGAATTAACTGGAGGACAAATGGTTTAAGTCATTGAATTGTGTAGCTCAGGAGCTTTAATGTCTATTCATATTCCACAGGATGAGGAAGAGGATCTGAGAACTGAACTCAACCTTCTGAAGAAGTACTCTTTTCACAAAAACATTGTGTCCTTCTATGGTGCATTTTTTAAACTGAGTCCCCCCGGCCAGAGGCACCAACTTTGGGTATGTATTTAATTACCCTATTCTTATTCCATAAGAATAAGTCTTACCCAAGGACATAAACTTTCACAAGCTGAGATGTCACTTTTGTGTACCCACAGGAAAACCTGCTCAAGGTGGTATGACAAAATATGCTCTGATTCCTGGAGATAGGGACTGAAGGATATGGCAGTATAAGTGCCTGGCAGGGGACTTGGGGGTGGCATGGGGAAGGACTCAAATGAACACTGGAGAAATCTAACATATTCCTCTTAAAATATAACTTTGTTGCTTTTAACTTTATCTAACTACCGCACTGGCTGGTAAATTAGAGATATGGACAAGGAGACTACCTGATTTTGCCAAACAATGGCTGAACTAGGATCAATCTAATTAGCACTTGGCCTGAACAAATGGGTGCATTTTAAAGTATATGTACTGATGTGTAAATATAACTGCTAGAATCTCTTTTCCAAATGGTTAATTGACTTATTCTTTTCTTAGTCTTCATGCCTGGAGTATAACAAATTCTAGACCAATGAGACGTAAATTATAAAAAAGTTTGGCTAACTGTAATTCACACTACCTAAGCCACAGTTATGAGGAATTGTTGCTGCCTTCCACTATAGGAGAAATAGGCAAATCACAAGAAAGTGGGTTTTAGTCAAGGGTGTCTTCATATTGAAAAAGGAATATTTAGAACATAAGCTGGGGTCAGTATACAGAGAATCTTTCCTATGTTTCTATTTCCAGTCAAAGCCAATAATAGTAATTTTTTTTTCAAAATAATGACTGAGACTTTTCAGGATCTTTAAGTGTCAAGGAAAGATTTGGCCACATTCTACATAATGGACTTGAGGAATGTGGTCAGTGGACATTATAGAAAGGTTTTTTAACAAGGGATTGAATGAAAACATTGGTTCTCAAACTTTAGCACGCATCAGAATCTCCTGGAGAGCCGGATAAAATACAGATTGTTGGGCCCCATCCCTAGAGTTTCTGATTCAATAGGTTTGGAGGGGGGATCCAAGAATTTGCACTTTCTAACAAGTTCAGAGGTAGTACTGTTGCTTCTGGTCTAGGTACCCTCCTTTGAGAACCACCAAATTTAAAGATCTTCATATAACCCTAATTTCTCCCAAATGTCCAGTTAACTAGACTCCTCTATTCTCTGACAATTTCAGTTGAGATTTTATTAAATATTGCTGCACAGCTTTAATAGCTAATGTTTGTTTTTTGGCATATGCCATTTGTCTTTTCATATATTTTTACTCACAAGTTTTTTCCTCTTGACAGTATGGGAAACTATGAGAAAAGTCTTCTAATTGGATATATGTTATTAGTACTCAGTTCATTCAGGCGTTCAGCATATATTCATTGAAAACCATCTATTTGCCAGGCACTCTGCTAGATGCTGGGGATACATGGTAAGCTGAATAGATATGTCCCTGGCTCACTGGAGATTACAGTCTGTTTGTGCACACCAATATTAATCACACAAATGAAAGTATAATTGGTCAGAAGGAAATAACACAGTTCTATGTGGGCAAATAACAAAGGAACCTGAATTAAGCTGGGGAATGAGAAAGACTTCCTGGAAGAAATAAAGCTTGAAAATAAAGCTGAAAGAATTAATTGAAGAATTAATTATTTGTGGAGGTAAGAGTTTCGAATCATTCACACTTTCTTAGTCATGTAAATCAGAACAACAAATAGAAGATAAATGGCTAGATAATTAGCATGTATAAAGAGTATGTGCCAGGCAGGCACTGTGCTCAAAAACCTAGGAAAATGATTGAGAATTCTGTACTTTCTGTTCACAGGAGAGTTCTTCTGCCTCAGGTCATATTAGCAAGATCTTTCAGGGTACATCTTGGTGAATGGTTTTAATTCACTTTCATCACGGTTCAGTATGAGCCCCTTTCCTTCCATTACCACGGTTTATATGTTGTGTCCATTCAATATAGTCAACCCCTAATTCTCCGCAGGAAAATTATCCTTTTGTGGTTTATCTGTATTACTGCTTTTGCTTGGCCACCTCTTCTCTTCTTTTTGGTAAAAGTATGCTCAGGTGAAAGAAATGCAATAATGTTAGTTTTGAGAAAATATAAATTAGGGGAGTAGTTTTCTGGAAAGAAAATCTTAGTATTCCAAAAAGAAATAAGGTAAATATTTTGAATATTCATGATTTTGGGTTTATCCTTTTGCTTCCCTTCATTTATGGCAATAATTAAATTGCTTACAGTTATTTAAAAAAAGACATGTTTTGTTCTATTGATAAAGCAGTTTTGATATGGGCAGTAATGCATAAACCTGTCCTTGAAGAAAAAGGTTCCTATTAAATGCTAGGTTGATTATAATAGTTAACATTCTTCTTCACATTGGTCAGTCCTCCAGTTAGCTAATATTAGCTGGAGGAAAATTCAGTGCCTAAAGATTAACAACTAGTTTGACATTCACTGCATTGGTGGCAAAAACAGATTTTCTGAGAAATGGAGTTCATTAGTAAGAAGTAAAATCTAAATGACACACTGTCAAGGATTAAAAAACCCAAATCCCATTGCCATCAAGTGGATTCCGACTCATAGCGGCCCTATAGGACACAGTAGAACTGCCCTATAGGGTTTCCAAGGCCATAATCTTTATGGAAGCAGACTGCCACATACATCTTTCTCTCACAGAGGGCTGGTGGGTTCGAACTGCCAACTTTTTTGGTTAGCAGCCAAGCGCTTAACCACTCCACCACAAGGTCTCCTTCTGTCAAGGATAGTAGCCTTAAAATGGAGTTGCCTTATCAGTCATCCCGTTTGGAAAGAATTTCAATTGACAGTCATCCCCTTGGAGTTGTGGTTTGCCAGTCTCTTGGGGAAAAATTATCTGGAAATTGAAAATAAAAACAATACAACAACAACAACAAAAAAAAAAACAAACAAACCTAGTCTCAATGTTTAAGTGTAAACTCTTTTGAGACCCTCCAAAACCTGCATCTTCACCCCCAATCAAACTGTTCCCTCAACTACCCTTTCCATTAAACTTCAGTCATCAGTCAGGCTTGTCCCCCGCACAAACTTCTTTCTAAAGGCGTGTGCTCATTCTGTTTTTTCATAAACTGAATAGTCTTCTTTTTTGCCTCTCAACATATACAAATACTACCTATCCTTCAAGGCTTGGCTTAAATCCCACCTTCTAGTTAAATATCCTGGTGTGGTACCTGGCTTCCCTCCCTCCACAAATCTTTGAGTTTTATCCAATTCTTTCTGATTCCACTAGCCTTTGGAGTCTTCCACCAGACAACTGAGCCATTCTTTGCAGTGTCTTAATCTCTAAACATTACCAGCCATATGGACTAAAAATCTCCAGATATTTTCAAAGAATTACTTTCTAATTCTTGATACTTTGCCGGTGTCCCTGCAGATGGTGATGGAGTTATGTGCAGCAGGCTCAGTCACTGATGTAGTGAGGATGACCAGAAATCAGAGTTTAAAAGAAGATTGGATTGCTTATATCTGCCGAGAAATCCTTCAGGTAAGTCTTCGTAAAGTCATATTCCCACAATTTTGAAAGAACCTGAGAGTAATGTATAAAATTGTTTAGGAATCATTGAGCTTCCTTTTATGGTGACAGAAAAATTCAGCAACAGGTATTGGTGGCAGTTGCACAACATGATTGATGTAACTGGTCTCACTGAATTGTACACACAAAAAATGTTAAATCAGCAAACATTGTGTTAATTTTATTTTTACAAAAATTTAAAAAATGTATCTTAGACTTGGTCACATTTGATTCTTATGGTTTAAGAAGTCTAAGTATAACCTCTGGAGCAGGACATGTCAAATGTCCAAAAGGCTTTCAAGAAAGCAGATTTCAAGGTGACGTTCTTAACTTTTAAGGTAGACTGCAAGTGCAAGATGGGTAACCAGGCCCTTCCAAATCATGGCCTTCAATGGTTCTGTCAGAGTCAGATTACTGTGTTCAGTGGATCATGGCAATGACTTGGAATATTTATTATGTTTTTATGATTTTTTTTAGAGTTCTTAAAAAAAATAGTGTAGCACTATCATTAGAGATCAAGATGAGGCAGGAAAAGTCAGAGATTTACAGAAAAACCCCAAACCATCTGAAACCTTATAGAAGACAGACACTCTCCTATGAATGCTGCCCCACTTTTTTTTTTTCTTTACTTCTAATACCAAATTGGATAAGAGCAAAAATCTACTTGACCTACCAACTTTTTCTTTCTGCTTTTTTTCTTTCTGGTTGAAGTGGGTCACCCAAGAAGGATAGTAACAAAACTTAACAGCTCCATTCACAATGTTGAAACGTCCTTCCTCCCAATTTGGTTGGATTCACTTGTGATTATAGTGTAATGGTTAATAAGACTGTCAACTCTCAGCTAAGTTTGAATTCTAGTTTCATCATGTATTAGCTGTGTTGCCTTGAGTAGTTACTTAATTTCTCCAAGTCTCACTTTCCTCATACCTTCTGCTGCACAGGGTTGCTGTGAGGATTTAATAATTTACTCCATGTAAAGCATTTACCACAGTGCCTGGCAAAGAATAATGACTCAATAAGTGTTAGCTGTTTTTATGGTTACTACTGTTATTAGTCAGAAAACCCTGGTGGCGTAGTGGTTAAGTGCTACAGCTGCTAACCAAAAAGTCAGCAGTTCAAATCCACCAGGTGCTCCTTGGAAACTCTATGGGGCAGTTCTACTCTGTCCTGTAGGGTCACTATGAGTCGGAATTGACTCGACGGCAACGGGTTTGGGTTTTTTTTTTTCTTTTTTTTTTTTTGGTTTACTATTATTAATTAAGGAGCCCTTGTGGCATGATGGTTAAGTGCTCAGCTGCTAACCGAAAGGTCTGCGATTGGAACCTACCAGCTGCTCCATGAGCAAAAAGACCTGGCGGTCTGCTCCTGTAAAGACTTCAGCCTAGGAAACCCTATGGGGCAGTTCTATTCTGTCCTATAAGGTCGCTGTGAGTCAGAATCAACTTGGTGGCACACAACAACAGTTATTAATCCTCAGTTTCTGAAGAGATCTCACTGCAGCATTACATACTGGGTCACCGATTAGCTTTAGTGGTGAATGGGCTGGAGCCAGTATGGTAAGCCAATAGAAATTACAAACGCTTTAAAATGAATTTCCATATTCTCTCATTTTCTCAGCCTGCAAGTCTGACTAGAAAGTATTTTGGACTAAACAAATGGTTGGATGAGGAATAGAGCACAATGGCCGAGCTAGGATAGTTATGATGTCCAGTTCTTTACTCTTAATTTTAGTTGGAAATATGGAGGCTAGAAAGGGAGGCGTTGTTTTTCTTTCAAGGGTGTCCTGATTTATTTTCCTTTCTGTATAGCCAAAAGTAGTATTTCTTGGAACTGGTTGTAGTAATTCCAGCCTAAAGAAAGAATTTCATCTGTAAAATCAAATCTAGACTTTTTTTTTTTTAAACAAAAGTTACTCCAAAAGTACTAAGAACAGAACTAGAAAAGAGGAAAAACATATGTTGATGTGGCTTTTATATATATATTCATATATACAGGGCTTAGCTCACCTTCACGCACACCGAGTAATTCACCGGGACATCAAAGGTCAGAATGTGCTACTGACTCATAATGCTGAAGTCAAACTGGGTAAGTTTATTCTTGGAATAATTTAGATGGAGACCAAAATATCTTAATGAGGAAAACTCCTTTAAGATACCTGCCCTTTCTATCTTGTCACTGCCAGTGTCTTCTACTTATTGACAGGGTCTGCCTGCAATGCCAGTTAACATTTGAAAATTTGTTTGGAAGGGGAGGCGGGGCAAATAGAAGAGGTTGTACCTGACTATTTCTTTGAAATCCTGTAGGTAAAACAACTTTTTAATTATAACAGGGGTTTCCCCAACTTTTTGGTCATTGCTTTGCCCTCTGTTAGATATAGCTATTATATTTATTTCAACAATTGAATTGAGTACTTACTATGTGCGAGTTTCTGTGCATGTACAAGAATTAAAAAAAAAGTAAAAATAAAAAAATAAAAAGAAGTGCTTCTATCATACGGCCATAGTTTCCCCCAGAATATCAAGAGCTTGTAAAATATATAAGAATGAATTCCTTCTATGGGATTTTCTCTCAAATATTTAAAGGAATGATATTGATAGAAAATGATGCTCTAATAATATCCAAATCATATTCAGAATTAGAAATTAAAAGACCAGAAAATCCCTGGCTATCTGTTTCAGGATTCAGAGAAGTGCAGTATATTTGAAAATAATCATACTTATTATCTTCATAAGCACAGGGGAAGAATATATTGCATTCTATAACATTTAAAATTAATATTTGGGGTTGGTTTTTAAATAATACCATATTAATTATGGCAATATTATGCAATAGTAGATAACCCCATTGACATAGAACAAATCATTGGTATCGGTTTCTGTATTTATTTTTAAATTATATCAACTCTTGCCTAACATGACTCAACGTGACCTTAAGATATTTCCCATTTTCCTGCTAAACAAATAGAACCAGAGTAGATATTTTGTTCATTCACTGAATATTTGTGCAAGAAGCATTAGGTAGTAATTGTTCTTGAAATAAGTAAAAGGTAATTTCAAGAAAATGTATTTATCTCTTTTGTGTCTAAACGCTACAAAGAAATTGTGTTAAAATACATGAGGGACATACAGATTTCACATTCAAATGTACAGAATAGATAATCTACCACAAGGCTAAGCACTGTATTCTCATATAGAGCAACATTTCCACATACTTGCTTGGGTCAAGTTGCTGGCCAACCCAACCATTTGCAACACAGAAGAAAAACTGGAAGTAAGTGAAAAGCCACTGAAGTATTTATATTTGCATCTGATTCCGAGGATGTGTAGAAGAACTTAAACCAAATTCTAGCAGAAAACTCATTTTTTTCCATCAGTGTGATAGGCCTTTCTAATGTCATGTGTGAAGCTTCCTAGTCATATGCTAATGGGTTTTGCATTTCTTAGATGCTGCTTATAGTGCTGTTCTTCCTCCAGCTTGGTGGCAGGTCCAAACACTACATATGTTATCACTTCAGAGGTTCAGGGTGTACTGATGGAACTTTATTTTTAATATGCCGGGTAAACATTCAGCCAAACCTACCATTGATTTATAGTAGCACTGCTGAATCTCTTTCCAACATAAATAGCAGCATAAGCCTATTTCCCAGTATTCCTGGAGTAGACTTCAGGGTAAAGTTTGCTGGGCTGAAATGAAAATCTGTTATCCATTGTGGCTTTTGTATTGGCTTTCCAAGTTAAAGCAATAATTTATTATGCTTTTTGTTACTGATTAATTATTTTGACATATGCTGAATTTTTCAGTGGATTTTGGAGTGAGTGCTCAGGTAAGCAGAACTAATGGGAGGAGAAATAGCTTCATTGGGACACCATACTGGATGGCACCTGAGGTGATTAACTGCGATGAGGACCCAAGACGCTCCTATGATTACAGAGTGAGTGTGAGGCCTCAAACAGTACGACTAATGTTTGGGAAGGATATTTGACTAACGTTTATTTTTTGATGATAAAAGAATAAAAAGCAAGCAGCTCCTCCTTTCATATTAAACTCTAATAGGAAATATTAGTCTCAGTTCCTTATGTGGTTTGATTATATGCATAAAAGTAATATTTTCTAAGAACTGAGACAAAGTAGACCTTTGGGAGTTATCCAGATTTGAGGAAGAATGTCTAGCTCATGTTGCTTGCCATGTCTTGGTAAAAATATTATATCGTGTGGCTTTATATGGAAATTTAACTTCCAGGGGCAGAGGGCTCTATAAACTTAAAAATGAATAAATATGAGGCCAATTATTAATCTCCACAGTAACTTTGCTCCAAGATTAAAGAAATAATTTGATTACTCAGGGTAACAGAGAAAGTCCTTGGTATGGTTCACCTCCCAAACCACAGAAGATCAGTGGAAATTAAATAACAATTCATACTATTTATTAAAATTTCCACTGGAGCTGCAATCTGGACAATATACATCTACGTACACATTTCAAAAAGCTGATGTGGAAAGAAAACTCTCCATTGCTATAGACTGGAAAATCTTACTCAGTCTCCACATCATAAGTCATCCAAACAATTCATTGTGGTCTTGCTGAGTGGAACCTAGGACTCAACATTTGACCTTGATTAATTGAAGTTTTATCTCCTTTCCCTTTCCCTTAAATGCTGTCTGCTTGATTGGCAAAATAAATATTTACTGAGGGCCTATTATATGTCCAGGGCTATCCTAGGAACTATGGAGTTTATGGAAGCATAATAGTCTTCAAGTGGTTTGCTGTAAAAATAACGCTTTATAGCTGTATGATTATTTTTTGCAAGCTTCAAAGTACTTTCACTCATATTAGTTAATTTTTACTTTTTAGCCCCATGTAGTTAAAAGAAAGCTTAAGCTTAGACCATCACAGCAATCCTTTGAAGCTAACCAATCTACAGACTAGGGTTCTAAGAATTCAGTTAACTTGTTTAGGGTCACAGAGCCAGTCAGTGTACCTCTGCCCTATACTCTTTTTCCATATTCTAAAAAATGAAGTACAGTTAATAGCAGTGAGGATAATTTCCTAGCACCTCACTATAATTCTGATTCTCAGTTTACTATATGCTAGGAACTGCTGGCGGAGCTTTACATATATTATTTCATTTAATAATCATACCAGCCCTATTAGGTGGGTACTATTATTATCTCCATTTTACATAGGGGAAAATTAAGGTACAGAGAGTTAAATCATTTGCCCAAGATCACACAGCTAGTAGATCTATGTGATAGCACTTCCTATAGCAAGTTCATTTTGGTATTTCAGTTAAGGCAACAATAGTGATACATCCAAGATGAACTTTCCTTGCACTGAATCCCATCCCATATCAACCAGTTGTGTCATGAGATGTTGGCTTGTCATAAGCTCAGATAATGTCTTCCTGGAGCGTCAGACTGTAATGAAGCTTCATTATAGAAAAAGTATGAAATGGCTCTGGCTTGACACCCCCTATCTCCAAAGATTGTTGCCAGTTTTCCAGTTCTTAGTGACATTGTCTGTCATCTTTCTCTTTGCAGAGTGATGTGTGGTCCGTGGGAATCACTGCTATTGAAATGGCTGAAGGGGCTCCTCGTGAGTAAAAGTGTTTGATATTTATTAAAGCTTAGGGAAACATACTGTACAAATCTGTCTCTGTGGAAGAAGATAGAAGTTCACTTGTACTATTCAAATTTTATTGGCCACACAGGTGCCACATTATGTGTCAAACTGTAAATGGTCGCCTTCTCAGTGATTACCAAATGCTTTCACCTGAATGGCCAGATACGAGTATATAAAAAAAGCCTATACTTTCCTCTCTTATGATGCTTTAGCTTAGACTGAGTGTTGTTTCAATTTAGCCTCAGTAGTATTTGGTCGTGACAGTCCTGACCAACCAGAATCCGAAGAATTCCAGTCTATATTGATTGGTAGAAATTTAGGTTCCAGAACATTTACAGTCACACACTGCTACTGCTTCAGACTCTCCGTGATAGCTGAGAAAAAGCTCCAGTCGTTCATTGAAATTGGGTCAGTCCTCAACAATTTCAGGAAGTAAGCATTTTTTTTCCCTTGGAGCCGGTCCAGTTCACCTTTGATTCCTTCTTGGCACCTTTCAGTCACCCTAGTGCCCCCAGCTTCCCAGAAGGCTCCATTATGTTGTCACAGAAGACAGGATCAGTTCCTGTTATTTCCCCCTCCTCCCCATCATTTAAATGGCTGTCAGCATCTAGTTCTCTCCAGGCACTGCTCTTAGTTAGAAAAGTGAAAATGGGATGCGAACTTAGGTATAAATGATTGATAACGATCTAATGTATGACTCCTTAAAGATAGTATAGTTGCAGTCCTCAATACCTAAATACAAAGTACAAACGATAAAGGCATTCTTGGTATTGCTGGATGAAAAGTGGGAGAGATTCCTGGGTGTGTTTGTGGGGGAAATGCTTTGCTTTCTGTTCTCCAGTCAGACCCCCTAGGTTCCTATGTTCCTGAATGTTCCATCTGCACAACATCCACCCACCAAGATCTATAAGCTTGGACTATCTTATTGTGTTTCAAGGCCAATGGGAGAAATTTCAAGGAGTAGAAATAGTGGTCACCTAATTTATGAGAATTCTTAGTATCCCTTGGAATATCACAGAGGGACTGGATAAAGCTGGGACAGATGTGGAGATCAGGTTGCTGATGTCTCTATTCTAGTGCTCCAAAATGTACAAAGTACCAAAGGCCAAAGTTGAATGACTAATTTTTAAAAAATTACATTGTGTAAAAATTTACATATGCAGCGTATGTAAAATTGAATGGAAACTGGGGAGATACCTGTTATTCCTTATCATCTCCCAAATATTTCTGTTTGGGAAACCTACTTCGATTATATTAAATTCAACTTCTCTCTCTCTCTCACTTTATACAGTGTAGTATTTGACATTGGTTTTGAAGCATGGACTTGGTTAGGATGCATGACTGTACCAAGTAGTATATTTTTTCCATTGTTTCTGAGTATTCGTCACCCTGTCTTTTCAGACAACCAGCTGTCTATGCTCTGTGGGTTTGCACTTCTTCGTTCATCTTTTTGTTTTGTTTTCACTTTTTCATTCTAAAATACTAAGTCATGGGAGAAAAAAGGGGTGATGAGCAGAGAAGGAATTTTGCATGGGGTATTCACCTGGCAAGCTTCTTGCAAAAGATAGGTGAGGAGCAGGAGATTCTGAACTCACAGGGGAGAAAATAGGGCCCACCTGCCTGTATAAGCAATTGGAATGGCATTGTTTTGACCACAAGCATCTTGAAGTAGCCACCCTGCTAAAACATTTTTTTTTTTTTACCAACCTCCTTTATTGCCTGGAGTATTAACGTTGGATAATTTTGCAGATTTCTTCCAGGTTATAATAATTATCATCTTAGAGAGGATGATCTTCCAAAATGACAGTTATCCAATAATTGCCTCTGAGATTTAGATAACAAAATACGCTTCCCTTTGGTATTTCTTTGGTAAATCTCTTCCAGAGAAGTAAAAAGAGAGGAAGAATAGCTTCTTCTCACTAAAAGCACCCTGTGGAGGTTCTAGGAGGAGAGAAGCTCTGAACCTTTGCATACCAGAACCTTTCCAAGCTCCTTCAGTCCTTGGGCTCTGAGTAGGAATTCAAACCTAATATGGAGCCTTTAAACCAAGGCCAGAACATAGAATATCATAGGCTGGTTAATACTGAGTAAATGAATATTCACCTGTCCTATCTACTACTGAATAGACTACTACTGAATAGAAAAAATAGGGCCTGCCTGCCTGTATAAGCAACTGGAATGGCACGGTTTTGACCACAAGCATCTTGAAATAGCATGGTGGGAGGAGCAGGATAGGGTCGACCGTTTGCTCTGACTCCCTTACCTTGTCAAGGGTACAAGTTCAACTTACTTTGACCTATTTTCCCTTATTTTAGCATTTTCCTTACTGTTGTAGAGATAACTTCTAATACTGTCAGCCATGCTTGTTTAAAGTCCTACTTGTATTCCTTGTAGTGTCCCTCTCTCACACCCCATGTCAATCTTTACATGAGTGGCTCAGGATTCAGATTTGCTCCTGTCCCATCAAGAGACCCTTTCCTTCATTATTCAGAAGATCCTTTCAGATCTCAAGATATATTAGGAGTAAATCACATTAAACTAATGCAAACTAAGTCCAGGTTTCCAACCCCTGAAGAGATTATTTTTTAAAGGAGGTTTGCTATCTCAAAGGAATGAGCCTCTACTGGTGAAAATTTGGCAGTTTTAGGAGATACGGGGGAGGGGGCATTTACCAGCATTCCAGATTAGACCATATTGAAAACCATCCACAGGTGGTGTTGTCATAGCTCTTGTACCCACTAGGCTCTGTTCCTCTATCGACATCTCCCCCCCGCTCCTTTTTTTAAATTATACTTTAGATGAAGGTATACAGAGCAAATTAGTTGCTCATTGAACAGTTAATACACATATTGCTTTGTGACATTGGTTGCCAACCCCATGACAGGTCAACACTCTCCCCTTCTCAGCCTTGGGTTCCCCATGACTAACTTTCCTGTCCCCTCCTGCTTTCTCGCCCTTGCCCCTAGGTTGGTGTGCCCATTAGCATCGTTTTGTTTTATGGGCCTGTCTAATCTTTGGCTGAAGGGTGAACCTCAGGAGTGACTTCGGTACTGAGTTAAAAGGGTATCCAGGGGCCATACTCTCAGGGTTTCTCCAGTCTCTGTCAGACTAGTATGTTTGGTCTTTTATTGTGAGTTAGAATTTTGTTTTAATTTTTCTCAAGCTCTGTCTGGGACCCTCTATTGTGATCCCTGTGAGAGCTGTCGATGATAGTAGCTAGGCACCATCTAGTTGTGCTGGACTCAGTCTGGTAGAGACTATGGTAGTCATGGTCCATTAGTCCTTTGGAGTAATCTTTCCCTTGTGTCTTTGGTTTTCTTCATTCTCCCTTGCTCCAGAGGGGGTGGAACCAGTGAAGTATCTTAGATGGCTGCTCACAAGCTTTTAAGACCCTAGATGCTACTCACCAAAGTAGGATGTAGAACATTTTCTTTATGAACTATGTTATGCCAGTTGACATATATGTCCCCCAAGACCATGGTACCCAGCCTTCAGCCCAGTAATTCGGTCCCTCAGGGAGTTGGGATGTGTATATGAAACTTCCATGACCTTGCCTGGCTTGTTGTGCTGACTTCCCCAGTATTGTGTACTTCACCAAAGTTACCACTTGTCCATTGTCTGGTTAGTGTTTTTCCCTTCTCACCCCTCTCCTCCCTAGTAACCATCAAAGATTGTTTCTTTCTGTGTGCAAACCTTTTCATGAGTTTTGATAATAGTGGTCTCATACAGTATTTGTCCTTTTGTGATTGACATTTCACTCAGTACAATGCCCTCCAGATTCATCCATGTTGTGAGATATTTCACAGATTCATCATTGCTCTTTATTGTTGTGTAGTATTCCATTGTGTGTACATACAATAGTTTGTTTATCCATTCACCTGTTGATGGGCACTTAGGTTGTTTCCATCTTTTTGCTATTGTGAATAATGCTGCAGTGAACATGGGTATGCATATGTCTATTCATGTGATGGCTCTTATTTCTCTAAGATATATACCTAGGAGTGGGATTGCTGGATCATATGGTATTTTTATTTTCAGCTTTTTAAGGAAGTGCCATATTGATTTCCAAAATCGTTGTACCATTTTATATTCCCACCAGCAGTGCATAAGTGTTCTAATCTCCCCACAACCTCTCCAATATTTATTATTCTGTGTTTTTTGGATTAGTGCCAGCATTGTTGGGGTGAGATGGTATCTCATGGTAGTTTTGATTTGTATTTCACTGATGGCTAATGATCGTGAGCATTTCCTCATGCATTTGTTAGCCCCCTGAATGTCTTCTTTGGTTCATTTCCTTTGTCCATTTTTTAATTGGATTATTTGTCTTTTTGTTGTAGAGGTGTTGGATTTTCCTATAGACTTTAGAGATTAGACCTTTGTCAGATTTGTGATACCAAAACTTTTCTCCCAGCCTGTAGACTCTCTTTTTACTCCTTTGGTGAAGTCTTTTGATGAGTATAGGTGTTTAATTTTTAGAAGATCCCAGTTTTCTAGCTTATCTTCTTATGTTTGTGTATTGTTAGTTATGGTTTGTATCCTATTTATGCTGTGTATCAGGGCCTCTAGCATTGACCCTATTTTTCCTTCTATGATCTTTATAGTTTTTTGTTTTATATTTAGGTCTTTGATCCATTTTGAGTTAGTTTTTGTGTATAGTGTGAGGTATGGGTCCTGTTTCATTTTTTTACAGATGGACATCCAGTTTTGCTGGCACCATTTGCTAAAAAGACTGTCTTTTCCCCATTTAATGGACTTTGGGCCTTTGTTGAAAACCAGGTGACTGTAGGTGGATGGATTTATATCTGGGTTCTTGATTCTGTTCCATTGGTCAACGTGTCTGTGGTTGTACCAGTAGCAGGCTGTTTTGACTACCGTAACTGTATAGTTGGTTCTGAGGTCAGGTAGTGCGAGTCCTCCTACTTTATTCTTCCTCGCCAATAATGTTGTCTTAGGCTGGGTTCTCTAGAGAAGCA